GTTTCCTCGGCGTGGGGCTGCTTCCCTGCGGCCGCCTCGCCGCCCGCCTGCGCGCTCTTGATCCCCACGATTTTTAAAGATGACTAGCGAATGTATTTGCCAAAGCCGAATCTAGACCCCGGCTTCCAGGAGCTGTGGTTGACGCTCAAGGAGCTCGAAAAGCTCCATCAGCGGCCCGGGCCTGGGCTGGGGCGGTGGTGGTGGCCCTGTAGCCGCAGGGCACGGCACGGCTGGTGGCCTCTGAGCTGCTGCAAGGTCACCGGAGTGGTTCTCCAGCTGGGTGTAAACGTGTACTCTTCTGAGCACGTGTGTTATAAAAGCAAGTTTAATCTGCCTAAGTATGGGGAAGGAGCTGCTTTTCCTGATGAAAACCCGGGGCCAGAGTTGGACAAGGCGGCGCAGTGCATCCCACCATGAGCGATGGTGGGGGTCCTGCTCTGCCTTCTCTGCTGCTCTTCTCAGCCCTTCTCAGTGCTGGGCTGGTGCGGATCATGGCGTTACCAGAAAAATGGCTCCTTTCTTCTTGTTGTTTTCTGCCAGCCTAATGATCTAAATAAACTTCCTGAGTGGGCAACTCACTACATGGGAGAAGAAGAGAGAGAGACCGTTTTTTCGTCAGGAAAAAGTCGTTAGTTAGCTCAGCCTTGTTGTCTAGCAGTGCGCTGTGTCGCTTTTGAGATGAGTGGAGATGTTCCAAGCTTACACTGGAGTAATGAAAAAAAAGGCTGAAATAGAGCAATTCGTGTAAGAGGCTGCAATGAAAATACCTTTTAGTTTCCAAGAAACACTTCATAACTGTTTTTTAGCCTAACAATTGTACACATATGTTAATTAATCATTGGAAGAATGTAAAATCCATATTAAGTGTTGATACAGACAAAACAGAGAAATGAAAACCATGGAAGTTAATACAAGGTTTTTTCTCTTACACACATTTGACTCTCTAAATGCAAATGAAAATACAGGAGCTGTCTGGATGACTCAGCACTGGATAGGATTGCAGTTACAAATATTTTGATACTAGTTGTCCTTGCTTTCTTCCCAACATACTTTTCCAGGACTACGAAAACTTTTATGGGAATTAGTCATGAGATCTTTCGCCATAAAATGATTTTTAGTTTTGTTCTTATCTGCATTTTTGAGGGTGGTATTAGGCAAGTCACTTTTGGTAACTGCCACAAGGTAATACCGACAGCTAAGCATGTGCAATAGCATGTTAATTCATGTTAATCTATAACCATTCTTCCTTGATGAAGTATTATACAGTATAACTGACTAACAACCTACATGTATCTGGTTTAATGGTTTGGTTTATAGAAGTATTTCTAAAATGGTATTATTCATTGAGGGACATTTACATTCTTGGACTTTTATTTGTAGATGTTGGGAGATCAGCATGTTGAGCACTCTACTCAAGAAAGAGGTGATGAAGATCACGATGATGTCATTGATGCAAAGCCAGACAGAAGTAGCAGATTATCACTTTTTGGAAAGTAAGTTACTACTTTTATTCCTGTTACTGTTGTATCTGCTGTGATATCACCCTTCTGTTGGGATTTTGGTGTTCAGTATGGGATGTTCACAATGTCACAGATGATCTGGATAGGGAGATGGTTTGTGTTGTATAGGTTTAATGTATCTGGTCTGTACTTTAAAGCCATCTCTCTATAGTATCTTCCTATAGGGAAACCTATACTGTCTCATATAAGCTTTATTTGGGAGTCAAGAGAGCACTAACTTCATTTAGCATCAGGTATAGTCCCTCGTCTTAAACATTGGCCTTTGGTGGAGCTGGGAATTAAATAGGCCATTAATTATCTATTTTACTGCATTCAGCTCAGCTAATCTCCTGCATCATTGGAATCCCCTGCTGACTATTTAAGTTAGTTGAAAGCCTGGATATGCCATCTAGGTTGTAGCACAAAGAAGCCTCACCGAGTCTAGAGATGTAACTCATTACAGAATAAATTAAAAGCCTTTCATTTTAAAACATAGCAGTCTCACTGAAGCATAAGCTTACTTTCATTAAATGTATGGGAAGCAAGGACTATGTACTGCTTGCCTGCACTCCTGAAAACACTGGATAAATGTGATTGAAAATACAAAAGATGAAAAACTAATGTGCAGAATTTACAAATACTATTGAATGTCAGCAAACAGCTACTTCACATTGTGAACTTCATGGATTTAGAGATGTTTTATTAGAGGTGTTTATTACAAAGAGGTTTTGATTTTTTTTTTTACTATTGGACATTCACATTCAAGTGAACAGTATAATTCAGAGAAAGCACAGGGATAATATAATTTTATTTTTGCTGTTTATAATATTAGTCTAATGGGGGTAACAAATCTGTGAGACAAGTGAAGATGCTTTAGTCTTAGCAGACTTTTGATGTGTTAAGCAAATCACTTTACTCTCTGTTGCATTTTATCATTCCTCAAAAATGTTTTATGATGTATGTGTGTATTATTAATTTTAACAGAATCACGTCATGCAAAATAGACAATGTAACATTTGTTTCCAAATCTTGCCAAACGTTTTTCAAATATTTCTTTTAAGCTTTATAAAATGTATATTTTAATAGCTGAATTGGTCTTCTTTATAAGAGGTGATATGCTGATACTATTATTAAATTATGCAACTCAAAGTTAATCATTCCTGAAAGAAAGGCAATAATCAGCATTTCTATCACCTTGTTTTCTATAAGAAATTTTTCAAATAATTTGGCTATGCATCAGTTTCAGACATTCATCTTTTGGGAACTCCTTGAAGATTCAATTTGAAACACTTTAGAAGTAAAAAATTGCTCAGATTAAATATGATGTAATTGAGAAGATTCAACTTTTTGTAGAAAAAAGAAGTCTGAGAAATCTATCAGATTTCTTTGAAGGTGGTGATTGCCTGAAGAGGAATGAACAGGTTGACCGCAAAGGTCTTAAAAATCCAAGCACAGTGACAAGATCTTTGACTTACAGAAACTAAAACTCTTCAGCCCAAAGGAAGATAGGAGAGGAATGTGAAAGGATAAAGGAAAATAGGATATGATTCAAAATCATGACTGTAATGGAGGAGAAAGTGAATAGACCTCCTTGTAGTGAATAGATTTCCTTGTGTCTCACAGGAAATCTAGGGGACATCCAATGGAAAGTTCATGGAGTAGGTTTAAAACAACCAGCAAGATGTCATTTTCACGTAGTGCAGAATGCAGTTGTAGAACTTAAAGTCACAAGATACACAGATGTCAAGATTTTGGATGAGTTCAGAAGAGATTAGATGTATTTGTGGAAGAAAAGTCCAGTGGAAATATTGATGTTAAAATCTTTGGTGCACAATGTCCTTAAACTCAAGTTTTTCTGTATCCAATTTCTTTTGTTTGTTTTCTTAAAGCTCATTACTAGCCAGTTCCAGGTACTATGCTAGATGTACTTTCAGTTGGAACCAGCATGGCTCTGTGTCTTGATTGCCAATGCTTCATCTTGGCAACATGAAATTAATACCTGTAAAATTAGATGTCCAGAAAGCTTTAGATTGACTACAATTTTATGGTCCCTTGTTTCGTTTTAGCAATCCAGTTTTTCCAGCTGTGCAGTACTTTCAGTGAAATTCTGCATCGTATTGCATGTATTATTGCTTAAGATATATAAGCTCAAGAAGTAACTCGTATTGTTAAATAAGCACATTGATTTTAATTTAAGAAAATAGAGCAGTGAGAAACTGGGTTCAAAGCCATGCAGAAAGACCAGCTGTTTCTGGTAGCTTCGCAGCTCCAATTCACCATTCTCTGGCTGTGACTGGGAATTTATCTAGCAAGAGCAGTAAGTAGAAATAAGTGAGGATCTTATTCACTACAGCATATTTCTCTCCGAGAAGTCTGTGAGCCTGCTTTACCATGGAGGCCACAAGAATCAGAGCAAGCCATGGAGTGGGCAGGTTCTTCTGGCTGCACCACAGTTTAGGGGAATTATCTTCTATGTGTTTCCTTTTCTTTGAAGAAGTGCTAGTACTTAGTTAATGCTGGTGGGGAAAAACTGTTTGGTGGAGAAAAGTTGAAAGAAGTAAGTTTTGAATGCACATCTGCTGGTGGTGTTTGGTTTAGGGTATTGTAGCCACTAGATGGCAGGAAGGTATCAATTTTGTTGACTGCAAAAAGTGTGGGAAAAAATGAGGAGAGTTGCAGTTGAGCAAAAAGTTATGTTTCACAAAATGGAATGGCAGCATACACTCTGGCAAGCCTGTGTGCAACAGAATTTTACAACATGGTTAAACAAAGACTGAGCTAAGAATTTCAAATGTGTATTTTAATTCTTTATGTGATAGTTAGAAGCCAATAGAATTTTTTCCATATAAAGTTTTATTTTCTACGCTGTATGTGCTCCTGTTACACTCTCAAGGCTTTAAAAATAGTCTTACTCCTCCACAGAATGATTTAATGCTTTCATTTGGTATCTTTTGGTTTTTTTATTGGGGAACTCCATTAGGGAGATTGATAGCAGCAAAGCTATTTTAGCATCCAGGAAACATAGTGTAACATGAAACGGAATGAAATTGTGGTTCCACCGTATTAATTAGAGCTAAGATTTCTCTTACTCCTAATTAATTATTTATTTTTTTTTAAAAAAAAGCTACATCTGAAAATTCCCAAGACTTGCAGTGTCAATGATCATGACTGTTTGTGGGCTTCACTGAAGAGGCATAATGCAGAAGAGGGTGATTGTTACTAGTATCTAGAGTATCAGTTTTATTCTAATTTACTTGTATAGAACCGTTTGTCCTCTGGTTACTGTTATCTACTCCAGCCCTACTGTCTTGTTTTACAGTCAATATTCCCCTTCTTATCTGGAAACAGAAAACAGAATTTAAATATATGTTTAAGAATTCTTACAAATACCTAGTTACAATTGAAACTTTGTGATTCTGTAGTGCCCTTAATGCAGAAACACAAAATGCATTGTAAGAAAACCCCACTGAGGAATTTGAGAGGCTTATAAGGTACACTGTCATACAGTCACCAAGAATACTTCAGCTATTTAACACTGCAAACCCAAAATATCTATAAGGTATTCATTTCTGCCAAGTCAGGTCAGTATAAAGTTTGAGACTGTTTATTTTAATTAGTTTGAAAGTTTGCTGGAAACATCAGTGTATATCTTGCCTTCTCTAGTTCAATAGTTAGATAGGTATGATATCCATCAGGTTTGTAAATTAGTATTTAATCAAAAAGATGCATGGGTATATAGATTTTCTTTTCATTAGTATGGTGTTTATTTGGGTTACAGAGCATCGAAGTGGGGAAGCACAGATGTTACAAAAGCTGTCTGTTTTAACTGCATGACCCTTGTCTCAGTATAGCTGTATTTCTCAAAATAAAGAGCCTTGTCCTTCAAAGAATAAATACTCATTTTTGAGATTCAGCCTCAGCTGAACCTCAACTTTGGAGCTGCAACAGGTGTGGAAAATTGTCTTTGTTTCAGCTTTGCTCTTCTGTTGTTGTTCGGTCTTTGGGGAGCTATTTTCTATCCACTCTTGATTACCAACAGCTTGTTTTTATTTAGTTTGTAAGAAACTGCTTTGCAGGTAGAACTTTATGAAGAACAGTTTCACAGTGATGCAGATGCATATGTTTTTTAGAGTTTCCCATTTTGTAGGTTTTGGGCCACTTGAAAACACCAAGCTTGATCTTATAAATTGCTTTCTTTGTAGAAAAAGTACTGCTGCTAGCATTGTATGCTTATGAGGAAACTATATTGGCCTCCACTGCCTGAATGTCAGCTGTTCTGCCTTGAAATTAATGTGTTCAAATTCAGATGATGCTTTGAATGATACCTTATCTTTTTTATCATAGCTTTTACAGTTTTAAAATTACAAATGCAGTTCTGTTACAGGTTTTTCAGCAACAGAGTGTTACAGACTTCTCAAAAATAAATACTGCTAAGAAAAGTATCTCTTTTATCCTTAAATGAGATAGAATAAAAGTAGTAAGGTACTTCAAAACAAATAACAGTTGATGAATCATTATCGAAGTTATACTCTGTGCTGCAACTCAGAGATCTGAACTGAACTTTTAGTTCAGCCTCAAGTTTCCTTTATATCTCTAAGAAAATCACTGTGTGCTTTAGTCTGTCCTTAGATGGGTGGTGATCTTTCCTTTTACTATCCTGACTCTGAAGTCTAGCACAATATCATTTTAATTTTGTTTGGAGTTTGTGAGTTCAGCTTTGTACACGCTAAATATCAGTGTATTTTCCCTCAAAGCATTGAACATAAAATTTCAGAAGCAATAGGTTCTGACATCTATAGTCTGTTCAAGTTAATTCCTACAAAGATGTTAAATAGATTTTAACGTAGTAGGGATTAATTTTCATTACTCTCTTTTAAGCTAGAGGTGGCTTTTTTTACTTTTTGCTATTGCACTTTTTGTTAGATCGGGAACTCAACTTCTGGAGAATGCTGCAGGAGTAATTAACAGTTAGTGAAAATTGTGGTCAGTGCTTG